TGGGCTGGGTGCGGCGGGGCGAGGGTTGCGTTTTTGTGTTGGAATGGATGTGTTGTGTTTTCACCTTTTTTTGTGTATAGCCTACCATTTCTAAGGAAGTCCACATAATCTATTATACTTTGCTGTAACTTGGGGTGAGGTCATTTCCTTCTTTTATATGGATTATGATAAATTTACTGTGAATTTAGTAATAGCTTGTATTTTATCGCAACAAAAAACAGGTATTACTAAGTATATTACAATACTCAGTGTTTGTGCAATTTTTTTTTAAATATGGTACCGTATTCTGTGTATATATATATATATATATATATATATATATATATATATATATATATATATATATATATATATATATATATATATATATATATATATATAAAATAGATGGGTGTGTTGTATAGTAGTGTTTCCGGAGGTCTGAGAAATCACTGAAGAAAATAGTAGTTTAGTTAATCAGTTCAGTTCACCCACTAACATTTAATTTGCTGTCCCACTTGTACCATATAGTCAAGTTATTTTAGACTAATACCATAATTAGACCATTTTCCTTTTCTGATTTCTCAAATTATGCATGCACAATGTATACATTCTTAACAAGGAGGTCAGTCTGCTTATTCATGGGTGTTGGACATTTTTTCTTTGATATTTTTAATTTCTTGGGGCCCTTGGAAGTATACTTGTAAAGATTGAACCTTTGTTTTACTATAGTTAAAGTTATAGTTGTACTACAGTTACACAGTCTTCAGAAGTTATATAAAATATGTACAATATCTATTACAAAATAATGCTGTTGGTTACACATGAGAAAATTAGTGTCATGTATATTTTTCCAATATTTATGACTGCAGTTGAGAAGATATGAATAAAAAAATAAAAGAAATCATATGATTGTAGTGATTAGGATTAAATATTCAGAAAGATAGCCAGAGCAGTAGAGTTGATAATTGTGATAGCAGAAGTGATCTTGATTTTTTATTAGTTTAATAATGTTATAACTATATTTTGATCTGTAGTATAAAGTGTAATAGCCTTTCCACGAGGTGCAGAAGCAATTGATTGAAATATTTTTTGCTTTTCCATCTCCCTCTTTATTCATCTGTGATTCATTAAATCAGAATCTCCAATATTATCTTTTTCTTTCAGTACGGAGTGTAGTAGTATGATGGGAGGCATGCGCCACTTCTCAGTCCACCTGGGTGCAGGGCCGCGGTGGTGGGTTTGATGCCCCCCATGCCGCCTACATGTCTACTAGTGCAGAGGGCAGCGGCGTGGGGAAACCATCAGAGCCCCCTGTGGCCGGCACGCGGTCCAAACCTGTGTCGGTAAGGAAGCTTCTTTATGTCACAAATGATGCAAACCTTTGAAGTGTTTTGATGAGAGTTGCATGTGTTGTTTTGACATACAACTGTTGATATGGGATCTCTAGAAATAACTCTGGTCTTGAAATATTTTGATTTGAAATATGGTTTAGGGAAGTGTTTTGATGAGAGTTGCATGTGTTGTTTTGACATACAACTGTTGATATGGGATCTCTAGAAATAACTCTGGTCTTGAAATATTTTGATTTGAAATATGGTTTAGGTTATGGTAAATTTTCATTGGAATCATTTTCTTTCAGGGTACTGAAGTAGTATCTGCGGCTCAGAGTGGGTGTGCCCATCTGAGCTTTGAATTCCAACTGGCGGAGCAGACAACGGTTGTGTGGGAAACTGTTGTAGTTGGCCGTCGCCTCTACTTGTCAATTGTGCACTTACCAGAGGGCAGCAAGGAGGCGTTTGTGTCACTGCTGGAGTATGCTGAGGAAGTCCTTGGCTGCTCTCATGTGCTAATCTGCTTCAAGAAGGATCGCAGTGATCGAGGTTAGTGATGATCTTGGTGATTGTCAGTGTTAAGTTTTGGTTTAAATATTAGGATGAGATATGTTAACATTGATGTAAGCAAGATTGCTAATAGTACTTTTAACTCTTTCCTTTAATATTGTTTGTACTAAAGATAAATTTTATAATAAAATTGTTGTTTTTAATATGAATTTTTTTTTCTTGTTCTCTTTAATTGTGTTTATGATTTATTAATTAGTGAATGGTAGGGTAGCTGTCATTTGTATTATTTTGATACTGAAATCAAACTTGGTTTCCAGCTATGCTCATCCGCACCTTCATGTTCCTCGGGTTTGAGGCCATTCCACCTGGCCATCCGATGGCACCCGCCAACAGTGATCACTTCTACATGCTCTATGAGATCGAGTAGTATTGTCACAGGTCAATGTTTCTGTATTGTGGTTGGGTTTTGATAGATTGCAGATTGTTCTCTCCCCTATTTATGAATGAATAATAGCTGCAAGTTTTGTATTTCACAGGTTTTGATTTTCAGAAATGTCAGAAGCGATGATTGAATTAGAGGGAAGAACAGTGTGCAGTCTTTTTAACCCCAGAATTGTCTGGTTTCCCCAAGCTGAGTCTTGTTGTTGTGGAGTGGGTTGGAAATTGCTTCGTGGCAG